CCCCAAAACCCCAAAACCCCAAAACCCCTAATTTATCTAGCCAAGTTGAATACTTAGAATTATGAGTGGATCATTAGCTCCTTCAGGCTACAAATCCAGGTTAAGGACTTCATTTGGAAGAGGAGCTGCTTTTTCTTTAAAATAGGCATATTTGGAGATAAAAACACCTTTCTTAGGTCTGATCTTAGTGAAGATCTTTCTTTTGGACTTTGCTCTCTTCACTTCAGTGTCTAGTTTTCATATGAAAGATAGGACTTTAGAGCGTAATTTTGAAGACTCTTGCTCGCAATCCTTAGTCTTCAACAATTGTGATATTGGACTCTTGGTCACACTTGGAGAAACGGACTTTAGTTTCGGATATTTTGTTGAATAAAACTCCTTTTTAGACCTCTTGATCTTCTCACAGATCCTGTTGTTTCTTTGAAGATTAGACTGAAACCTTTGAAAGGAATTCTTAGATGTGTCTATGTTGCTATAAAATCAATTATTAAAAAGCAGAATTTTTCTTTACCTATTAGAAACACTGATCTGATGCAGCTTAGAGGGAGTCTTTGCAGGAGAAATCTTACTCTCCTCAATTTGGATGTTCAAAGACTTATCCTTAATAGAAACATTAATCTTCCCTTCCTTCAGAGTAGATTTAGCTCTTTTCTCAATCTTGCTAGTATTCAAGCTGCAACGAGGCCGGTTATCAAGACTAGTGAAGATTGTGTGCTTGCTATTAGGAGTGTTGATCTTCTTTTTGAGCATAAAATTTTGAGTAGAGTTAAAACGAGTTTTCTCATCCTTCAACCTCACTCTTGGACTAGCAAAGGAAGGTGTATTAATTCAATCCTCTTCATTTATTACATCCTTGTTATTTTTGATGAAATTGTAAACATCAGCATCTGAGAGATAATTATCTTTAAGAGAGGAAAGCTTGCTGAAAGCTTTAGTAAGCCCACTCACAGACATCTTCTTGTTAAAATATTTCTTCCTTGAACTCCTGTGGGTTTTCTTTATACTTGATTCTGCCTTTTTCTGTCTAAATTCAAATTATAAGCACACTTCTTCAGCTAGTTATCATTTACCTTTAGCTCTGCCATCTATCCTAACATTGAAGTTGGTAAAGCAAGCATAGTTTTCTAAAAATTAAGCTGAAAGAACCCACTGATCTGTTCATCCATGAATAACTCCTTGACCACCTTCGCATTGAGATGATACTTCATCTTAGGTGTGGGGATCCTGGTGTTGAGAAACTCAACTTTCCTTCCATTAGCTCGATCCGAGTAGTAACTGCCAAGAAGGTTCTTCTTCTCATCTCTCTCATAGATCTTCTTGTATGGGATTTTATAAGGATGGTCTACCACCCCAATCTTATTTAGACGCTTCAGCTTCTCCAAGTAATCTATAGTTGAAGCCGAATAAATACTACCTGACTGCTGAGAATTCTTAGTCTGGTTCTTTAAGTTCTGAACCCTGAATGCATCATTTAGAAAAGTGTCTATTTTACCAGAGATCTGTGATTTAGCACTCTGTAACCCCATATTCTCAATTTTGTCAATCAAATAGTTCTTCAAGTTGATATTTGAGTCGAGTTCGCTGACTTTAAACTGATATCTATTGGTTAGTTTTATCATTAAAATGCGAGAAACTACCTTCTTGCTTTAGACTTTTTCTCTATTTCCTTCAATTTCTCTCTGGTAAATTCCTCTTTTTTAGTTCCCTTACTTCTAAGGTTAGTTGGATTCTTATTTCATCCCATGCACAATACTTGATTCAATAATTCTTGACAGCTGAGCTGCCTTCTTCTTACTAAATTAAGGTAAATATTAGCATGATCTAGTCAGAGACATCAGGTTTTATATTAACTGAACATTTAATAGCTAAAGATTTGCCTCTTATCATCAAGAGGGAGCAAAGCACTCACCTTAACTGGACGAGTCCATCAGAGTCTTTCTTCATTTTAATTCAACTAAAATAAATTCCGAAGGGGTTTTGGGGTTTTGGGGTTTTGGGGTTTTGGGG